TTTGTGCTGTAGACAGACGTTTGCAGCCTGTTCGATCGTCCTGCAGACAAGCTCTCAAATCACCAGACAGCCACGTTCAAGACACCATCTAACGAGAAGCGTGGAAGACGATCAATTGAGAGTGGATGCAAACTTTATTCAAAACATGTGAAGATTGGAGGCACACGAGGGCTGAGCCCGATTGGAATTGTGGTCCTAAAGAGGACCGTTGGGTTCAGGTTGTTGCACTCGTCAGAGTAAGCCAGAGGGGACTTATCCACCGAAGCCGTACAGGGTGCGGCCCTGACGCTTGAGGGCGTAGACGACATCCATGGCGGTGACGGTCTTCCTCTTGGCGTGCTCGCAGTAGGTGACGGCGTCACGGATCACGTTCTCAAGGAACACCTTGAGGACACCGCGGGTCTCCTCGTAGATGAGGCCGGAGATACGCTTGACACCACCACGGCGGGCCAGGCGACGGATCGCGGGCTTGGTGATGCCCTGGATGTTGTCGCGAAGCACCTTGCGATGGCGCTTGGCGCCTCCCTTGCCGAGTCCCTTGCCTCCCTTTCCGCGTCCAGACATGATCACTGAGTTGCTCGAGTGAGTTGGATCTCACCCTCCACTGGGCCCTTTTATTCTCTTTCTGAGGGGGCGGGGCAAGGCAGCGACTACGCGGGGACTCGTTTTGGCGCGAAAATGTGATGCCACCAGCTGACTCGGCTTGCACCCCACGGGGTACTGCACCGAGGCAACTGGTAGAGCTTGCAGAAGGCACCGCTTACTCCTTGTCGCCGGCGGTCTTCTTGGGCAGAAGAACGGCGTTGATGTTGGGGAGGACACCGCCCTGAGCGATGGTCACGCCCGACAGAAGCTTGTTGAGCTCCTCGTCGTTGCGGACGGCCAGCTGCAGATGGCGGGGGTTGATGCGGGTCTTCTTGTTGTCGCGGGCAGCGTTGCCAGCCAGCTCGAGGACCTCAGCGGCGAGGTACTCAAGGACGGCAGCGAGGTAGACGGGAGCTCCGGCTCCGACACGCTGGGCGTAGTTGCCCTTGCGCAGCATACGGTGCAGACGACCGACGGGGAACTGGAGTCCGGCGCGCGCAGAACGCGACTTGGACTTTCCTCCCGACTTGGCCTTGCCTCCCTTTCCGCGTCCAGACATGATGATAGCTTGCTCGGTTCACGAGTGTGCCTGTCTCTGCGGCCGGGGCCTCTTTTATAGGCGCCAGCCCCGGGGACCCGACCCCGCCCCTTTAGGCGGGAAGACGGAGCGCGTCTGTCTGCAAACAGCCCACAGGGCGGCAAAAAGCGACCACGCGATAACTCACACACCGCAAGCAAAGACGAAGACACGACGAAGACAACTTCGCAGCATTACGAGTATGTTCAAAAGAGGGCAGAGCAGAATAGACTCGAGAGAGTATAGCGAAGTGGCAAGGACCAACTGAACTGGCTCTGNCAGGGCGCGCGCCATCTCGTACACTCGTGTGTGCAAGCCAAGGTCATCTTCGCTCAAGTCGTCATCATGTCTGGACGCGGAAAGGGAGGCAAGTCGAAGGCTGCTGCCGGCGGCAAGGCCAAGTCGCGTTCGTCGCGTGCTGGTCTGCAGTTCCCGGTCGGTCGTCTGCACCGCATGCTTCGCAAGGGCCACTACGCCCAGCGTATCGGTGCCGGAGCACCCGTCTACCTCGCTGCCGTCCTCGAGTACCTCGCTGCCGAAGTGCTCGAGCTGGCCGGCAACGCCGCCCGTGACAACAAGAAGACTCGCATCAACCCTCGCCACCTGCAGCTGGCGGTCCGCAACGACGAGGAGCTCAACAAGCTTCTCTCGGGCGTCACCATCGCTCAGGGAGGTGTCCTTCCCAACATCAACGCCGTCCTTCTGCCCAAGAAGACCGGTGGCGACAAGGACAAGCAGTAAAGCACTGTGCCACCCGACCTAACACCCTGAACCCAACGGCCCTCTTTAGGGCCACATGTCCATCTGCCCAAAGGGTGCGTCGTCGTCGTCGTCGTCGTTTGTTGTTGATAAAGTTGTGCTGTGTCGTTCAATCTTGATCTGCCGTAAACGAACGCAAAAGAAATGGCGAAGACGTTTGTTTATCAAAGTTTGCAATGTATCACTTTCTTTCGCGTTCTTCTACGGGTGTACAGGGGCGAGAGAGCGTTACGCTCTGGTGTGTTCGGGAGTCCCCGCGTAGTCGCGACAAGTCTCCGCCCCCTCGAGAGCGTCCTTATAAGCGGGGAGTTGCTCGCGCTCGCCAGCTACTCGTCTCGAGTACTGTTCGCCTGATCGTCTACAAGCGTCATGTCTGGCCGCGGAAAGGGAGGCAAGGGACTCGGCAAGGGTGGTGCCAAGCGTCACCGCAAGGTGCTTCGCGACAACATCCAAGGCATCACCAAGCCTGCCATTCGCCGTCTCGCCCGTCGTGGTGGCGTCAAGCGCATCTCGGGCCTCATCTACGAGGAGACTCGCGGCGTCCTCAAGATCTTCCTTGAGAACGTCATTCGTGATGCCGTCACCTACTGCGAGCACGCCAAGAGGAAGACCGTCACCGCCATGGACGTCGTCTACGCCCTCAAGCGTCAGGGTCGCACCCTGTACGGCTTCGGAGGCTAAGTCGTCGCCCGTGCCCGTCTTCACCGATCACCCCAACAAACCTGAACCCAACGGCCCTCTTTAGGGCCACATTCCAACATGACCAAAGGTCCAACGATGTGTGTTTTGGCTTGCGTTTCGTGAATAAAGTGTGTAATCGTAGTGTGCTGACGTCGTGGTTTGTCTCTGTCTCGCGGCATGATTTGTGAAAAGGGTGGCGAAATAATGGCGACGGGAGAGAGGCTCACATGCATTCAGCGTGCGCTGGTGCGAGTTATCGCGTGGTCGGGGCTCGCGGCGTATAAGCGGGCAGAGCCGGGTGCTCGCCTTCATCAACACACGATGGCTCGTACCAAGCAGACCGCTCGCAAGTCCTCCGGAGGCAAGGCTCCTCGCAAGCAGATGGCCACCAAGGCCGCTCGCAAGTCTGCCCCTGCCTCGGGCGGCGTCAAGAAGCCCCACCGTTTCCGCCCCGGAACGGTCGCCCTCCGCGAGATCCGTCGCTACCAGAAGTCGACCGAGCTGCTCATCCGCAAGCTCCCCTTCCAGCGTCTGGTCCGCGAGATCGCCCAGGACTTCAAGACCGACCTCCGCTTCCAGTCGTCGGCTGTGATGGCCCTGCAGGAGGCCGCTGAGGCCTACCTGGTTGGCCTCTTCGAGGACACCAACCTGTGTGCCATCCATGCCAAGCGTGTCACCATCATGCCGAAGGACATCCAGCTGGCTCGCCGCATCCGTGGTGAGCGTGCGTAAGGCACTCGCCGACTTGACACCATCATCAACCCCTGAACCCAACGGCCCTCTTTAGGGCCACAATTGCAAAGACCTCAGGTCTCATCTGTTCGTTTCGTTTTGTGTGTGTGTGTATCATGATGATGATGTAATTGGAGGGCGCACGGACGCGTTCTCCTTGCCAATTCTGCTCAAAGTGAGTCCTCGCGTAGTCGCGCCTAGGCCACGCCCACTCTGTACATAAGGCCAGAGGTCGAGCTCGCCGCAGTTACACCTCTCGTGTGTGTGCTACCAGTTGATCTACGTCTACGATGGCTCCCAAGGTTGCTGCCAAGGGCTCGAAGGCCCCCAAGGACAAGAAGAGCGCCTCGCAGCGTACTGTCGGTGACAAGAAGAAGCGTACGGCCAAGCGCAAGGAGTCCTACTCCACCTACATCTACCGTGTGCTGAAGCAGGTGCACCCCGACACTGGCGTCTCCTCCAAGGCCATGTCGATCATGAACTCGTTCGTGAACGACATCTTCGAGAAGATTGCCGTCGAGGCGTCGCGTCTGTGCCACTACAGCAAGAAGAACACGCTGGGCTCTCGCGAAATCCAGTCGGCTGTTCGCCTGATTCTCCCCGGAGAGCTGTCGAAGCACGCCGTCTCGGAGGGCACCAAGGCCGTCACCAAGTACACTGCTGCCAAGTAAGCAGCCGCCTCCTGATGTCTAGACATCAACCAACCTGAACCCAACGGCCCTCTTTAGGGCCACAATTGCAACGACCTCAGGTCTGCTCTCTTCATTCTGTGTCATCGTTGTGTTGTGAATAAAGATGCAAGTTGTGAATGGTAGCGTTCGTTCGTCACGTCTGATCTAATCGGAGGGCTCCTGGATGCGTTGTCTGGCTATTTGTGCTCAAAGTGAGTCCCCGCGTAGTCGCGCCTAGGCCACGCCCACAATCTTTAAATACCCCCGAGAGCAGGGCGCGCGCCATCTCGTACACTCGTGTGTGCAAGCCAAGGTCATCTTCGCTCAAGTCGTCATCATGTCTGGACGCGGAAAGGGAGGCAAGTCGAAGGCTGCTGCCGGCGGCAAGGCCAAGTCGCGTTCGTCGCGTGCTGGTCTGCAGTTCCCGGTCGGTCGTCTGCACCGCATGCTTCGCAAGGGCCACTACGCCCAGCGTATCGGTGCCGGAGCACCCGTCTACCTCGCTGCCGTCCTCGAGTACCTCGCTGCCGAAGTGCTCGAGCTGGCCGGCAACGCCGCCCGTGACAACAAGAAGACTCGCATCAACCCTCGCCACCTGCAGCTGGCGGTCCGCAACGACGAGGAGCTCAACAAGCTTCTCTCGGGCGTCACCATCGCTCAGGGAGGTGTCCTTCCCAACATCAACGCCGTCCTTCTGCCCAAGAAGACCGGTGGCGACAAGGACAAGCAGTAAAGCACTGTGCCACCCGACCTAACACCCTGAACCCAACGGCCCTCTTTAGGGCCACAATTGCAAAGACCTCAGGTCTCATCTGTTCGTTTCGTTTTGTGTGTGTGTGTATCATGATGATGATGTAATTGGAGGGCGCACGGACGCGTTCTCCTTGCCAATTCTGCTCAAAGTGAGTCCTCGCGTAGTCGCGCCTAGGCCACGCCCACTCTGTACATAAGGCCAGAGGTCGAGCTCGCCGCAGTTACACCTCTCGTGTGTGTGCTACCAGTTGATCTACGTCTACGATGGCTCCCAAGGTTGCTGCCAAGGGCTCGAAGGCCCCCAAGGACAAGAAGAGCGCCTCGCAGCGTACTGTCGGTGACAAGAAGAAGCGTACGGCCAAGCGCAAGGAGTCCTACTCCACCTACATCTACCGTGTGCTGAAGCAGGTGCACCCCGACACTGGCGTCTCCTCCAAGGCCATGTCGATCATGAACTCGTTCGTGAACGACATCTTCGAGAAGATTGCCGTCGAGGCGTCGCGTCTGTGCCACTACAGCAAGAAGAACACGCTGGGCTCTCGCGAAATCCAGTCGGCTGTTCGCCTGATTCTTCCCGGAGAGCTGTCGAAGCACGCCGTCTCGGAGGGCACCAAGGCCGTCACCAAGTACACTGCTGCCAAGTAAGCAGCCGCCTCCTGATGTCTAGACATTAACCAACCTGAACCCAACGGCCCTCTTTAGGGCCACAATTGCAACGACCTCAGGTCTGCTCTCTTCATTCTGTGTCATCGTTGTGTGGTGAATAAAGATGCAAGTTGGGAATGGTAGCGTTCGTTCGTCACGTCTGATCTAATCGAAGGGCGCCCGGATGCGTTGTCTGGCTATTTGTGCTCAAAGTGAGTCCTCGCGTAGTCGCGCCTAGGCCACGCCCACAATCTTTAAATACCCCCGAGAGCAGGGCGCGCGTCATCTCGTACACTCGTGTGTGCAAGCCAAGGTCATCTTCGCTCAAGTAGTCATCATGTCTGGACGCGGAAAGGGAGGCAAGTCGAAGGCTGCTGCCGGCGGCAAGGCCAAGTCGCGTTCGTCGCGTGCTGGTCTGCAGTTCCCGGTCGGTCGTCTGCACCGCATGCTTCGCAAGGGCCACTACGCCCAGCGTATCGGTGCCGGAGCACCCGTCTACCTCGCTGCCGTCCTCGAGTACCTCGCTGCCGAAGTGCTCGAGCTGGCCGGCAACGCCGCCCGTGACAACAAGAAGACTCGCATCAACCCTCGCCACCTGCAGCTGGCGGTCCGCAACGACGAGGAGCTCAACAAGCTTCTCTCGGGCGTCACCATCGCTCAGGGAGGTGTCCTTCCCAACATCAACGCCGTCCTTCTGCCCAAGAAGACCGGTGGCGACAAGGACAAGCAGTAAAGCACTGTGCCACCCGACCTAACACCCTGAACCCAACGGCCCTCTTTAGGGCCACATGTCCATCTGCCCAAAGGGTGCGTCGTCGTCGTCGTCGTCGTTTGTTGTTGATAAAGTTGTGCTGTGTCGTTCAATCTTGATCTGCCGTAAACGAACGCAAAAGAAATGGCGAAGACGTTTGTTTATCAAAGTTTGCAATGTATCACTTTCTTTCGCGTTCTTCTACGGGTGTACAGGGGCGAGAGAGCGTTACGCTCTGGTGTGTTCGGGAGTCCCCGCGTAGTCGCGACAAGTCTCCGCCCCCTCGAGAGCGTCCTTATAAGCGGGGAGTTGCTCGCGCTCGCCAGCTACTCGTCTCGAGTACTGTTCGCCTGATCGTCTACAAGCGTCATGTCTGGCCGCGGAAAGGGAGGCAAGGGACTCGGCAAGGGTGGTGCCAAGCGTCACCGCAAGGTGCTTCGCGACAACATCCAAGGCATCACCAAGCCTGCCATTCGCCGTCTCGCCCGTCGTGGTGGCGTCAAGCGCATCTCGGGCCTTATCTACGAGGAGACTCGCGGCGTCCTCAAGATCTTCCTTGAGAACGTCATTCGTGATGCCGTCACCTACTGCGAGCACGCCAAGAGGAAGACCGTCACCGCCATGGACGTCGTCTACGCCCTCAAGCGTCAGGGTCGCACCCTGTACGGCTTCGGAGGCTAAGTCGTCGCCCGTGCCCGTCTTCACCGATCACCCCAACAAACCTGAACCCAACGGCCCTCTTTAGGGCCACATTCCAACATGACCAAAGGTCCAACGATGTGTGTTTTGGCTTGCGTTTCGTGAATAAAGTGTGTAATCGTAGTGTGCTGACGTCGTGGTTTGTCTCTGTCTCGCGGCATGATTTGTGAAAAGGGTGGCGAAATAATGGGGACGGGAGAGAGGCTCACATGCATTCAGCGTGCGCTGGTGCGAGTTATCGCGTGGTCGGGGCTCGCGGCGTATAAGCGGGCAGAGCCGGGTGCTCGCCTTCATCAACACACGATGGCTCGTACCAAGCAGACCGCTCGCAAGTCCTCCGGAGGCAAGGCTCCTCGCAAGCAGATGGCCACCAAGGCCGCTCGCAAGTCTGCCCCTGCCTCGGGCGGCGTCAAGAAGCCCCACCGTTTCCGCCCCGGAACGGTCGCCCTCCGCGAGATCCGTCGCTACCAGAAGTCGACCGAGCTGCTCATCCGCAAGCTCCCCTTCCAGCGTCTGGTCCGCGAGATCGCCCAGGACTTCAAGACCGA